GGATAACAGTGTGGAGGTGCTACAATGGCCAAACCAGAGCCCAGACCTGAATCTCATTGAAACCTGTGGAAAACCCTCAAGACAAGGGTCCATGCCCACAGGCCCTTCAACCTGACAGAACTAGAGGTCATAGCCAAGGAAGAGTGGGACAACATTCCTGTGGAGCTCTGCCAAACCCTCATTAATAACTACAGAAACCGCCTGGATGCTGTGATCAAGAACAAAGGCTTTGCAATTGACTATTGACTGTGATATTACATTGTTTAACATCATGGAGGAATGGCTTTAATTTGTGTTTTGAACTTCAATGTCTATGTTATATAATGATGTTTAGAAAGGTCAATAAACAGCCAGGAATATAGAAAAGTTTTGAAATTTATGCAGTCACCATCTAAAAACCTATGACTAAATAAACATGCTGTCACAGTAGTTTATGGGGGTAATAAATATGGTGGTTCTGGGCAATTCTGGCCACTTCTCTATTTTCACTCTTTTGAAGCACTTAAATGATGTTTAAGTAAAGTACAATTTTTCAGGGCTTAATTTCTGCACCTTACCAAAAACACTGATACCATTTAGGACCAGTTAAGATTTGTTCAATATTCAACAGTATTTAACAATGCCTTTACAGTTTTATTGACAAAAGGTATGAATAATTTTGAGTGAGTCAAAATACAAATAAAGTAATTTTTTGTTATGCAAATGAGGTTGTACAAAACTCATTAAGAATTTTTACCTTTCAAGTAAAGGTATCCAACTACGGCCAAAATATTCTGTATCCACCTGTTGTTTTCCAGAAAAACACAAAACATTGAAATTTCAGTAGGGGTATGAATAATTTTGTTTTAACTGTACGTGTGTGTCCGTTTGTTCCACTGATATATCAAGAACCCGATAGGTTGTTTTTTTATGAAACGTGGTACATTGACTCTCTAGGCGAATGCGCAGATTTGAGTAGGTTTTGGTTTAATTCCATGCATATTAATTACCAAAATTGCATGATAATTAGGTAATTTTTAGCTGTTCCATGACTGTTCCACTGATATCTAAAGAACCACTAATTAGATTTCGATGAAACTTGGTGCTTATAAGCTCCGGGACAAGGACAGACCTGATTTAAGTAAAAATGTTGTGCTTACTAATTACCTAATTTGCATAAAGATTAGTCAATTTTTTTACTTTTCCACTGATATTTCATCACATTACAATGAAACTTGGTGCATAGATGCTCTAGGGCAATGCACAGACCTGGTAACTTTTGGGTTAATATCCATGCATATTAATTACCTAATTTGCCTAATTACTATATGATTGACAGCGCGTTTAATCAATCTGCGAGTGTGTTGCAGCTGGTGATTTAGTGAATAAATGAGATTTGTTACTGAACATTATTCAGCACTGGCCTGAAAGTGTCAGTGTGTTGATGAGTGAGTGGGGTTATTTTAAGCACTGAATATGTAAAGCAGGTGTTGTCCTGGCTTCTGGGTGAGCGGTTAAAACATATGCTGGAAATTATATAATGATTTGTTGATAGAAAAAATATGTTGACATTTCATTCAAATTAAATTAAAGCAGCCATTGCATGGGTATCTAACACCACGGGTCATAGGGTTGTTGTGAGGGCTTTCCTTTCACTGACTTGGTCAAGAAGACTTGCATTTGTTATTGTATCATGGATCGCATGTCCGAATGCAATATAACGCATTTGAAAAAAAATGTCGCAATTATGCCTACAAAAGTTATAAAATGGACATGCATACCGAGTTTAATGCAAAGAAATGCAGTCTTCAAGACTATGTGAGTAATTCCTAATTTCCGAGTTACTATTTTTCTCACGAAATTCGATAGAGGGCGTTCTCAGAGTACCCGGATGACAGTCCGTTCAACGTTCGTGGTGGCACGGTCACGGTTACTGCGGTTACTTTTAGTAACCGTGGTGGTGGGGTTGAAATTTGAGCGGCGTCTGCTGTAAGCAATATACTAGTAGTTACTGTTGCCGAAGTCTTATTTTTTACAAACGTTTTGCAAGAATTGGTCAAAATGATTAACTGGCATTGTAATGCCCCAGACTATTCCTTGGGTTCGATTAAAAAGAAAAAACAGCGAAATATCCTGAGAAGAAAGGCGTAACTTTTCATACATTTCTTTCGTCCAAGAAATCAACACTTCAACGCCAGTGGATTCGAATGCGTCGTCGGGAATCTGAGTGGACGCCAAACTATATTCCCGGGTTTGTTCACGGCATTTTCCATCCTGCGCCAGTATTTTTTTAGTTCAATAACTGAAGACAGCCGTCTTTCAAACGCAGTTATACATCGATTAAAAAACGAAGACTCTGTCAGCTTCCCGAGACGAGCGCAAACGAAAACATTGAGCTGGATTTGATGAAAAATTCGCTCGTTGCCGATTCCCACATCGATCATCTTGTTCAGAATCCTTATGATGGCATTTTTTGCGAAGTTGAAGTTAAAATAACTACGGAAGGAAAAAAAACGTGTGTCCATTTATGATAACTGCATCTGCTGATCGCCTGGTGAATAAAATATTAAATCAAACTTACACTACACAGTTACAAACACCAGACACTATTTTAGAGTTTGATTTAATAATAAACCATGGCTTGTAAGGATTTTCCTTCATGGATCATTGCCGAATACACTCTGCCATAATGAAACAGTTTAGCTTTACGAACATTGCTGCAAGTTATACCACGATCCTGAAGAAATTTGCGAAGTTCTGGGACTTTTTTTGCTTTTCTAATCTATTGATTTACGCATGTAAGAATACAGAACTTCAATAAAAACA